TGCATTCCCTCTATCTCGGCCTATCATTTAAGAATACATATAGATTATGGATAAAACAAATAATATAATTTAGTCATGCGGCAACGAGAGTTGAGAGACACAAATGACATCAGTTTTTACGTATCCTTCCCTAGTTTTTTAATAACAATCTCTAAAATCTTCTTTAGCACCTAAAAACAAACACCATACTTTTTTGTCATCATGTATTTTGCTACTTTATCAAACAAATATCTCATTTACCCACGTATAGATCATCGTATAAGAATACATATAGATTATGTATAAAACGAATAATATAATTTAGTCACTGATAATAAATGATAACTAAATAATTTAAGAAAGCAAAAGATGAACTTACACGTCCAATGACCAATGAGACTGAACAAGATAGTACTATATAACCTACAATTGTATTAAAGTAAGATAGAAAATTGCCATAGAAAAAGAACTTAAGAAAAATATAGGAGAACAATTACTTAAGATTGTAGTGGTGTGCACCTGTTATTTTCTGTTCTACTCTCATTTGACGTTATATAAAGATGATGTTTAAACAAGTTACCTAATTTAGTGGCACTAAAAAGTGAAGAGAGTTGAGCAAGTGGAATGAAGTTTGCTATATTAGTGGCACCAAGTTTTCAAAGACTTGAATGAGGGAGAGTGGTCAATCACGTGTAATCAAAACAGAAAATCTAAAATAATATAAATACATATATAATATTTTTCAACTATCTGTTACAAAATTAAAGATTTTAGTTAAGTTTAAGATATTTTAAGATTTGATTTGATCAATTAAAAAATATTTTAAAAGTTTACGAGCTACCCTCAGAAAAAACACGACGTAAGCTACTCTTTCTCCTCTGCTCTCGTCCATTTCACTTTTTCTTCAGAGGCTCTTTAACCAACATGCATGGTTCAGCCTTCTTCTCATCTTGGGACTTTGAAAAATTCACCAAAAAAAAAGTGAAATAATAACCCAGTTGGGTTTGTGGTGGCAACGACA